TGTTTAGCATAGCGAGCTAACTCTGTCCCTTCGGTTAACTCGACGGTTACGTTTAGGCAGAAATAAAATCCAACTTACCCCCACTGCTAAACAGGAGCTTCATAAATTGACCAGTTAAGAAAAAACATGCCCTATTTGTAGCCACCCTATTTGTCACGTCCTTTCCAGTTCTTCTTGTTTAGATCCGCCCACTTCCAGTAAGGTACAGGCTGTGTCATAATAATGTCGTTAGGCTACAGGCTCTATCACGTCCTAACGCCGTAACGACATCAGAGTCGGGGGGCGCTAGACTTCTGGTAGAACTGCGAAACAGACCTGCTGGAAAATACTACCACATTATTGGCCAAAATAACTGTCTGTCAAACACGCTCAACCAATGAAAATCCAGTACTTTCTCTGCGCCGTTTGTGTTTTGGGGATCTGCACCATTTACATACCGGCATAGCAAGCTGCGTGCATTTTGTTGCTCCTACGTATAAATAAATAAAATAAACATATCAAATATTTTTATGCTTATATCGATCTGTAGATACTGGCGATCATAAATAATTTTACCCTTTGTATTATTCAGCACCCTGCCTTTGGCAGTTGGTTTTTTTGATATTATAATAATATTGTCAAAAGCTGACGGCAAATTGTGGCTCTGAAAGATTGCCACACATGTAAGATGCTGAAAGCCCCACCATTTAAGGGAAGATGTCCTTTACTGGCGACGGCTTTTAGCTTGGTATCACACCGGCTGACTGTTACTGAAGAGACCCACTGCGACTTTCCGGTATGTCCCCGCCTCTCATTTACAGGAACTTTATGCAAATATTAGTCGCTGATTTAGCATTCTGTGCGAGACAACTTAAATGAGATGTTCCAAAAGAAAACAAGAAGGGCTAAAATAGAACACAAGATGAAAAAAATCACATGAATAAGTGAAATTTTATGTTATTCTGGTCCCTGCTAGCAAGAAAATGTTCGGAGTACGTCCGTGAACGTAGTCTGAAAGTCGAACGTCGAATGTTCGGACCTGAAGTTCAGCAAACGTTGTCTGAACATTCACTCTGAACATTCGTTTCCAAATAATTTTCTTTTTTTTTGTTTTTTTTGCTGTCATTTCACTTGATTTAGATTTTATATCTTTAAAACTTTAAAACTTTTTTTTTTATCAAATTTTTATTTTTCACTTCTCATACAAAGTGCATACTTCCGAATGTTGTTTGAACGTTCTTGAACGTCTTCTGGACGTTTTCATAAATGTTGCTTTAAAAATAACTTCAAATAAAAACGGAGGCATTACAAAGAGCTTTATTTCTCCCTACAAAATAATTTTTTAAGATTTTTTTGTTACTCTTGCTGTTATTCTAATGCAAACGTCTCTTCTATGTCTTAATAAAAAATAAATAAATAAACAAATGTTCGGACTTGACGTTCGCCGAATTTTAATATATTTAAAACTTTTATGG